TGTGTGTATATATATATATATATATTGCTGCGGCGTGCAGCCCGATCCATAAATATATAATCCTCACAACCAGGCCCTCGGCCTCTCTCGGTCATCAACCTCACAATCAGGCCCTCGACCTCTCTCAGTCATAAACCTCTCAAGCAACTCGGGCTAACAGCAAAACAGGGCGTTCAGCCCGAAACATCATTTGTAATATCAAAACTGAGTAAATAAGGCTGAGTTATGAAATCAATAAAACACAACATGACTGAGTACAAATATTTAAGTCAAACAGTGAGGAATAGTAGTAACAAAGTCCCTAAGGGTCCAAACAGTTGGCACGAGGCCCAAATATGGCATTCCGCCCAAAACATAGTAATACTTTCCAAACACAATACTATCAAATAGTTTTCAATCAAATACGCAACTTAATAGTCGTACGAGACGGACCAAGTCACAATCCCTAATGGTGCACGACCCCACGCTCATCATCTAGCGTGTGTGTTACCTCAAAGCAGTGAAAAGATGTGAAATTCGGGGTTTCATACCCTCAGGACTAGATTTACAATCATTACTTACCTCAAACCGGAAAAAAATCTACACTGCGATGCCCTTATCTCTCGACTCGGCCTCAAATCACCTAGAATCTATCCAAAAATCAGAATCATATCATCAATACATGCCAAAGGGACAAAGCCCACGCGAAAATAATCAAATTACATCAAAAATCCCGAAATGGGTCAAACCCGACCCCTGCGCCCACGTCTCGGAATCCCACATCAACAAAATTCCCATCCTCCCACGAGTCCATACATACCAAGAACGTCAAAATCGGACCTCAAATGGCCCCTCAAATCCCCAATTTAAACTCTCCAATTCCAAGCCCTAATTCCCCAATTTCTCACCTTTAATCCCATAAATTACACGCTTAAACAATTGAAAATCAACATAGAATCGAGTTTTTAGGTTCAAAAACCTTAACTCCAAGAGTTACCCTTCGAATCCCTCTTCAATCCCTCTCAAAAGCTTCAAAACCGCTCAACAATGGAGGAAAATGGCTAAAATTCGTGAAGACCTTAATTTAAATATTCTGCCCAGGTAATCTTCCTTAATCACGATCGCGGGAAGACCATCGCGATCGCAAAGAACAAACTTTGCTGGCTCCAGAAATAACCTTACGCGATTGCATAATACACTTCGCGATCGCGTTAAGCTCCACTGACTGAACTACGCGTTCGCGGAACTGACCTTGCGAACTCGAAGAGGTAACCATGCTGCCTCAGCTCAGACCCAACACTACGCGAAGGCGTGCTCACTGTTGCGAATGCGATGCTCCATCTGCCACAAGCTACACGAACGCGGACCCATGTTCACGAACGCGATGAAGAAATAAACAGCCTCAGGTCTTTCCCTTACGCGACCGCATTCATCTCTCCGCGATCGCGATGAAGAGAAAAGACTCCAGATGCAGAATCATACCAGCACTGAAATTATAGGGAAAAATAGCCTGAAATCAATCCAAAACACGCCCGAGCCCCTCGGGACCCCGTCCAAACATATCGACAAGTCGCATAACATCGTTCACACTTGTTCCAACCTTCGGAACGCTCAAAACAACATCAAAACATCAAATCACCCACGGATTCAAGCCTAAGGATTTCAAAAACTTCCGAATTCCAAATTATATCAAAAAGTCTATCAAACCTCGTCCGAATGACCTAAAATTTTATACACATGTCACAAATGACACAACGGACCTACTCCAATTCCCAGAATTCTATTCCGATCCCGATATCAAAATTTCCACTACCAATCGGAAAATGCCAAATTTTAAATTTTGCCAATTCAAGCCCAAACCTTGCACGGACCTCCAAAATACATTCCGATCACGCTCCTAAGTCCCAAATCACCTAACGGAGCTAACCAAATCATAAAAATCCAAAAACAAGATCATATACTAAAAAGTCAAAACTTGGTCAAACCTTTCAAATTTAAAGCTTCAAACTGAGAATTGTTCTTCCAAATCTATTCCGATTATCCTGAAAACCAAAACCAACGATTTACATAAGTCATAATACATCATACGTGGCTAGTCATGCCCTAGAACTGGCGAGCAAAGTGCAATTGCTCAAAATGACTGGTCGGGTCGTTACAGGTACATTCCTAGGGCTTCGTTTTTAAGAGCCATTTAGTACCTAAAAACAATTCACACACAAAATTAGAAAAACGGAAGGAAAGAAAAACAAAACACACAAATACTTAGATATATAGCTAAGACCATCTAACTCCCCGGCAACGACGTAGAAAATTGATCTGGTCCAAGCCTACACTACTATTGAGTTGTGAGGGTGGTCGATGCAGTTTTAACCCAAATAGGTCGGGATCGAATCTGCAGGGAGTTAATGTTTGGAATTAGGTTTATATCTAAGCTAGATGCGGGCTTTGAGTGTAATTACACTTTCACAAGTTTGGGTTTGATTTCTAGTTCTAACTTTTCTCTAAAGATTGCAATGATTGAAATTAAGAACAATAATTTTTTTGTTGTTTTTCAAGTGTTTAAAGAGACTAGGATCGTGACTTCTTTCTAGGTCAATATCTAACTAGTAGCAAAATCTAGGGCAAGCTTGATTAGTTGGGATCATAATATAGCTATCACACACGGGTACTCACTCTATACCTCTCGGTAGTTTGAGTGATTTTGCCCAATTTGGCTTTCTCAAGTCCAAATGGGTATTCAAACAAATCAAGTGATATTAGCTCAAGTGGGTATTACTATCTCTAGTTTAAACCCTTTAATTGGGGCTATCAATTTCTTGACTTCACCTCAATTGCTTGTTAGCCTAGTTGTCCTAGACTTAATCCGTCTTTCTCAAGTAGAGACTGAGTCATAAAGGCATAAATAAATATTTGCAACCATTAATTCTATAGTTATAGCAATAACTAGGCTAAATATCACTAACTCATTCACATTCAAGCCCTAAAATCAAATACCCATTACATACCCACACTAGGGTTGGGTCACAACCCTAGCTATGGGTTCAGCTACTCATGGAAATAGCAGAAATTAAAGATGAAAAGAAGTCAAAATCCATAATATTAATTTATAGAATGAAAATCTAATGTTAGGAGATGAACCTAGTACAAAACTTCCGAAAACAGAATGCTCAGCCATCTCACGTGCTCATACAAAACATAACATTACCTAAAAATGACAAAAAGTTCTATTTATACTAAGCTGAAAATATCTGACAAAATTGCCCCTGCGGAGGTTGTGCGACTGCATAATTCACTCGCCGTACTCTTGCTTTAACGGCCGTGTAATTTTGATGCGGTCAACATTTTTCTCTTTTGGATCTGGATTGAGCTGGACTTTCGCGGACTGCATAATTTCAAGTGCGGCCGCATAAAAGTGATGCGGTCCGCACTTGCTTGAGTTTGGCTTGAAATCAACTCTCTGATTCTTCATCTTGCGGACCGCACAATTTCGATCTCGGCCACACAATTGTGGTGCGGTCCGCAATACTCTCTTTTGTTCAAGTTGCCAGCTCTCTGAATCTCAGTCCTGGTGGTCTGCATAATTATGATCGCGGCCAAACCATGGCTTTTGCAGCCGCACAATATTGGTGCGGTTCGCGCTTCAGGATTCTTTGTCCAGTCTTTGTTTTGTTCAACTTTTGACTCCTTTGTGAGTTGGTTTTGATTCCTTTGGCTCATTTTGAACAATTTCTGCAGGCAAGCATATTTCATTAGTTTCCGGGAATACCTTCAAACATTTTTGGCCTAAAGCACAAGTAAAAGAGCAAATAATAGGTTAAAATCCCTACCTATCAACTACCATCCAATAAACAAAAAAGTAAAAGAAAGAAAGAAAGAAAGAAAAGCAATATTAATTTTTTGTATATTTATATTCAATTAAAATGTTTAAGGTCTTCTATTAAATTTGGCTGTAGACCACTAGTTTTATTGAGCCACCATTGTGATTGAGTCCTGCATTGGTCGCTTATATGTAATTCGTTTCACCAATACAACTTTTATTTTGGTAAACCTTGTTTACTTCTATATCCCTTTGCCTCATGCCTTGGTCACTGTGCATCAGACTTAACTTCTAACTATAAATTAAGACTAGGGGGAATGACCCGTACAATATCGCGCATAATAGTTTCAACATTTGTACAGTATGTTAGAACATTTGGTCCACTTCCCTGAAAGCACGCAAGTCTGCTATTTTGCAAAATATCTTGACTGGACTGAGGTGTGAAAACCACATATGTCCCATCAATTATTCTTTTCAATAATCGCATCAATATCTTTACCATCTGTTAGAGTTGGTTCAACTAAAGTACAGTCTGCTCTTTCTTCATCACAAGAAGGACCTTCCACTAAATCTCCACCAGCTGCTGCACCTTCATCAGTACCTTCTTTATTTTTTCCTTCGTGGACTGACTCAATATCCATGACTGATGGCATTGAACTAGAAGGTGGTGCACCTTACCTTCTTTATTTTGTCCTCCATGGACTGATTCAATATCCATGACCGATTGCACTAAACTAGAAGATGCTATATGCTTAAATTCCATATTGCCATATTCATCCTGTTTGTCTAAATCAACATCTTCCCCCTGTTCATTCCCCGAACAATGAGCAGAATATCCACAAATAGGAACATCTATATCTTTGTTCATTTGATTATTTTGATCAAAATCTCTATCAGGATCGTTATCTCCATCAACAGGATCTCTTGCTTCATTCCTTTTACTATTTCCATGTTCATTTCTTTTGTCATATTTTTCCATTGAAAAGCTGGAACCATTTCTAAATTCATTCCGTTCATCACCATTTTTATAAAAGTCACGATACCCATCTTCATCATTCAAAAAGCCATGATGGTATTTCTTTTTACTTCTCTCATTTAAATTCCCAATGAATTCTACAACTTTATCAAGCTTACCACTAATATCACGTAACAATGAATAAATAATATTAATATACAATATATTATTATACTAACAAAATCAACTCTAAAAAATTGCACCAAAGTAGTTAATCACCATAACAGAATTATCAACATGTGTCTTCATTTTTTTTCCAGCATTATTAATAATTTTCTCCATCTTTTTCTCAAAATTTACCTGATCTGAACGTATAATGTCTTGAACTTTGACTGGTACCATCTGAAAAGAAAAGAAAAATGAAAGTTGTTGTTTCTTTGATCAGAGTTTCATCATAATAATCAGGAACATGATCAAATCCAGTATATTAAACTCATCCAGCATATTATACTCATTCAGTATAAAAATTTTTCAAGAGGGCTAGCACATTATTATGGATTGTAGGTTATTAGAAATAAATAAAACTCCAGCAAAAAATACTGAAATAGAATGAAGAAAAAGGTCAAATCCACTATATTATACTCATCTAGTATAAAAACTTTTCAAAAAGCTAACACATTATTTTGGTTTGCAAGTTATTAGAAATAATAAAACTCCAGCAAAAAATACTGGAATAGAATGGAAAAACATGGTCAAATCCAGTATATTATACCCATCCAGTAGAAAAACCTGGGCAACAAGGCTTCAGAGATCAGACTTCCATCATAATATACAGGAACCAAATTTTGAAATGCAAGTTATCAGAACCAAATCCAGTATATTATCGCTAAAATTAAGTAAAAAAGGACTAATTAAAATAAGAGAAACACCAACTTACATTCACAATCTCACTAACATCAATTTTCGATGAATGTTCAAGAAGATATGACGGGTTCACCTTGAGAACCTTGAATTTCTATTAAATAAACAAAAACATAAACAATAAGATTAAAACAAATCTATGAGAAAAGAAATATGAGAAAAAGTCAAATACTACTAACTTACAATTTCATTTTTAAAGAAATCTTTAAGAAGTTTCTTATATTTTGGACATCCCATGCTTGAATAAGAAAACATCCTAATTGGCCCACGATTATCATATCTTGAAAATTGACGAAAATCATTAAACACTTTCATCGTCCATACATTGAACAAAAATAGGAATCCAAGCGCTATATAAGATGGAAGTCTGCCCGTTGTTTTATTTTCAACTGAATCAGTGGTCAGAACATGCGACAAATTTGCAATAAGCTCATCGAAACACAAACTACCACATGGATAAGAAACACAAACCTCTTCGTTGTCAATGATGTTCATAGAACGATCGCTCATATTTCGACCTTCAAATTTACCCAACAGAATGGCTTCCAATAGGTAAATCTGAGCAAGCTTTACCACAACTTCATCACAAGCCTCAACATCAATAGAAACTTTAACAGTTGTACCATCACTCAATCGAGACCGCTTTTCCGTAAAATGAAATAAATTCTCTACCTTCAAACCCCTATTCACTTCAGAAAAATACCATTCCGTCAAACGGTTCTCTCTAACATCAATAAAGCTATAATCAGCTGCCTCAACCTTAAGTCCAGTAATAGTATGAAAATCTTCATCTGTAAATACTACCTTATGGCCAAAAACTTTAAAAATTATTTTACTATTATCCTTATAGAACAGTTGAGACAGCAACATACAATGAGCCAACTTTCTCCAACTCAGTTCTCTGACTTCTCTCTAGCTTCTAGAGAGAGAAACTAATCTTCGTTGTTAGCACCATGGAAAACCAATCGAAGATGAAACATCCCCCATCTGAACAAGAAACAGATCAACTAACACGTAGCAAAAAAAGACCTAAAGATCCTACCATATCCAACCAATCATCTTCCAAACCCACATATCTCCATAAATTAAATCCGTTGTCACCAACTGCCCACTTAAATTATGAATCTAACCTTCTCCACTCCCACACTTTATCCTATTACTAAGCATGAAGAAACAAGACTATACAACCCATGGACCCAATCCATTATTATCAAACTACTAGGCCCCAAGGTGTCGTACAACTTCCTCAAAAACAAACTACAAACACTCTGGCAATCCAAAGAATCTCTCAATCTAATCGATTTAGGTTATGATTACTCTCTTATCAAATTCACCATTCAAGAAACATTCCACAAACTTATGCAAAGAGGGCCATGGTTAATTGGTTCTCAATATCTCTCCATTCGTCACTGGGAACCCAAGTTTAACCCATCCCAAGCCCATACTCCTTTTTCCACCATTTGGATCCGTTTACCACAACTCCCTATGGAATATTATGACCAACAAATCCGACAAAAAATAGAAAATTTCTTTGGTCAACGTCTCAAGATTGACGCCTACACCACACATACCACCCAAGGACGTTATGCTCGTTTATGCATTCTAGCGCCTTGGTAAGCCCCTACTAACTGAAATCTTAATTGGCACCCACCTGCAAACAATTCACTATGAAGAAACAACCCCACTATGCAAGCTCTGCGGCTGCCTAGGCCACACATTAAACTCTTGCCCTTCAAATATACCTACTGGACCCTTCACCAGTGCCCAAGCCCAATCCACTGAACCAATTGTGTCCAACGAGGATAAAAGCCCATGGCATACAGTCTCTCCAAAAAATAATAGGAATGTTCCACAATGAACCCTCAATAATCAACAACCACCCGAAAATAATATACACTTGCCCCCCACTACCCGTATAATTACACAAAAACCTGCCTCAACAGCCACTTTAAACAACTACAGTATTCCTCTTTCCGACAAGTTTGTTTTTCCACCCCTGATCCTACCATTGATGACAATCATTCTCCTAATACCCCTACCCCCACATGCCCCCCATCTTTCTGACCGCACAAGTTCCCATGTAGATCTACAATATTCTAGCCCACTCTGCCCTATGTCAGCCGATATGACCCCACCGCCCACCATATCACCTGCCTCTCCTTCTTCATTACATGCCACTATGAACCAAACTTCCTCCACATTAACACACGTTACCTCTACATCCCCTGCTACATGCAAGAATATGAAAGCAAAGGCTACTTCTCAGGGGCGGACCCACATGGGGTCAAGAGGATTCATATAAACCCGCTTCGTCAGAAAATAACACTATGTATATAAGTGTATTTTTTCTTTCTTCGAGAAAATAATGTTATGCCCGCTGGCAAAGTGGGTTCAAGTCTATCAGGACGTCCTGAGTTCGAAACTTTTCAGCCTCAAATGGTCGCTCATTATTTTCCACTTACAACAGTCAACAGGAAAGTTTATCATATCTGTATGACACTCTTTTAGACATAGGACATACATACGACATAGGAAAGTTTACATTTCCCTTTTTACACTAGAAAAGCCTTTTCCATATAAGTATAATTTAGAAAAAGAAAAGTACACCATTTCAAGTTTTTCCCTAATAGAAAAAAAAATCTGAAAATTATAAATAATTACCAATTCCATTTGCTTCTTTCTTGGCTGAATCTTTCACTTCTAAGTTCAAAGTCATTGCTCCCAGAGCCATCTCCTTTGCCTCTACGCAGTGCCGCTTCTTGCTCTCTTTGTATATTTACTTTTTTGCATTTTGAATCCGCTTGGTAAAAGTTGTGGGTCAGCAACTGCTACTCCTCCAAATCATTCCTCAAATACGGCTGCTACTACCTATCACAAAAGACAAGACCCAGCTTCCTATAACACTATAAAATTTAATACCTCTACTTCAACAACATCAGGCACACTCAATCCTCTTCCACGACTTCACCACGCCTCCGTAATAACCAATCAAGTTCATACCCTTATACCCTCTTCTACCAACACCTAACCATATCACATCACCCCTACCCGTCTACGATCCCCCTCACTAATAACCCTACTCCGTCTACTACAGATATACAAGTGCCATCGGAAACACCATTACCCAAAGGTCATGATTCATCCACCGCTATAAATCACACTACTCCCATCCATGCAGAACCACCAACATTACCTTCCTCACCAAAAAATCCACCTTCCAATAACAATGCATCGACTACCCACCACTCCATCGCAACAACAGGAACAGGACCCCTGTCCCTCACATACAAATCAACAATTATCAGCTTCTACCTCCACACTTGGTTCCACCACTACCCCTCCTACAGCCCCTTCTCCTGGGTGCTTCGATTCCACCACCACCTTTCAACCTTGTTTCATTACCACCACCGGAACATACTCTACTGCATATGTCGTTGAACCTTCCTCTGCTCCAGCACCAAGTCACAACAATCCTTGACAACAACGACCTCCTCATGACACTCATTCAGGATGGACTACCAGACAATCAACATAATCATGTCATGCAAATCCTACACCTCCAGGATGTCGCTGATTTGGAACTCAACCACCAACTCACTCAAGCTCAGCAATGGCTGCCTCAACCGCAAAAACTGCCGCCACCTTTAAATGTACCCCACCTCCACATTTCTGGCCCTACTACAATGGCCAGCCTCAACAGGTATTCCCAAAAATGTTGCACCAGGCTCCACCACAGATGGACTTTCATCGGCTACCACTGACACTGCCTCCATCACCACCACCAGCCACGCCACCATCGGACATAGAAGAAGAAGATCATGCCAATCCGCCTCTCCACAACACATTTATGGAGACACTGAACCTGAACAGCCATTGACTCTCACCATGCATGAAAACATCGAAAGAAGATTTTTGATACTGGCTCCTCCAACCTTGGAAACGATCTCCTTAAATATTCGTCTCGACCCTTACTCTGTGGACCAGAAGTATGTCACACTTTTGATACCAACAATGCATCCACAGCCACCACTTCAGGAGGCGATAGGCAAAAACCATCAACTTACAATGACTTTGGAAATGGCACTCGCTCCGGGAGGGAGATCATCCCCTACGACAAATAGATCCATGAAGAACATGTTATGGAACTACCGTGGCGCCAACAACCAGATTTAGGCATAACTTGCATTTTTTGCTCAAATGGAACAACCCCACTATTCTATGCCTCACGGAGACCAGAATGGAGGACCACACCTCTTCTCAACGAGTTTAACTTTACTGATCTTATCCAAGTTGCTGCTCAAGGCTACTCTGGTGGTATTGTCATGTTATGGCGCGCACATGACCTCACTGGTGATCCCATTGCAATTACTGCTTAGGAGCTCCACGTTTCTGTCCAGGTATTCCCTACCACACCTATTTGGTATATTTCCTTAATTTATGCTAGCACTTCATACTACAATCATCAAACACTTTGGCATAACATTCAACAGTTTGCACAAGCTCATTCGAATGCGTGGCTACTATGTAGTGATTTTAACGAAGTTTCTAGTACTTCTGAAAAATTTGGGGGAAATCATATTAACACTAATCACTCTGAAGCTCTTAATATGTGCTTATATAATGCTAACATGATTGACTTAGGGTTTACTGGATCGCGTTTTACTTGGAGTAATAAACGAACGACTCCTAATAAACTAATTCTAGAATGTATTGATAAATTTTACGCCAATGAAGATTGGCTTCATTTGTTCCCAGATTCTAACGATCTTCATTTACCTCGTACGCATTCCGACCATTGTCCACTACTCCTTAATTTTCATAAAGCGACAACTAGACCACCTCCCGTTTTTAAATTTGAATCCATGTGGCTCAATCATCCTGAATTCCATTCTGTGGTCACCACTCACTGGCACCATAACTCAACATACTCTCAAGCGATACATGATTTTACTGCCCATGCTCATCACTGGAACAAACACACATTTGGTAACTTTTCTACAAGAAGAAAATCCTTATTGCTCGCATATATGGTTTACCAAAAGTGGATCCCTCTAGAAAAAATAGCTTTCACTATAACCTCGAAAATCGTCTTCTTACAGACTTCCAAATCATACTAAAACATGAGGAGGATTTTTGGAAATTAAAATCACGTATACAATGGTTGAATGACGGCGAACACAAAGAAGACGGCGTAACCGTATTCTCGGCCTCCAAGAAAATTGGACTTTCGATACTTCAATTGTCAAACAAGTGACCATACACCATTTTACTGACCTATGCACAACTGTATTACTTTCATGTTCTTCTGAATACTTCACCCCATCCACTATCTCCCTTTCAATTACAAATCAACATCAATTATCTCGCCCAATCACACTTCCTAAAATACATTTCGCTTTATTCTTTCAAACCTTTCAAAGCCCCAGGAAGGAGCTGATGGGATTCATCTTGTCTTCTTCCAACGATTTTGGAACCTTACTCAACATGCTGTCATACAAACATGCAAGGATGTTTTCCTTAACTACTCAATCCCCACACACCTCAACCAAACTTATAGCACATTAATCCCTGAAAAATTAAGCACCTTTCCCATAGTTATTCATTACCGTCCGATTGGTCTCTGCAATACAATCTACAAATTAACTACTAATGGACGAAGCTATACAACTAAACACTGGAACCCTATAAGGATTGCCTATCAAGGACCCGTTCTTTCTCATATACTATTTGCTGACGATCTTATTCTATTTGCTAAAGCAGACTTAAAAAATGCACAAGCTATCACCACCATATTTCATAACTTATCTAATCAATCTGGTCAGCGTATCAAATTTCTCGAAATCCAAACTACTATTCTCCAAAATGTCTCGCACCATACACAATCTAATATAAGCTGCACCTTAAATATTCGTACAACATCCAACTTTGACAAACATCTAGGTTTTCCTATGCCTAATTACCATCCCAAATCTGGGAACCGTATGAATAACCGTCTCCAAGGTTGGAAAACAACATTTATTTCGCTAAGTGGCAGGGCCACCCTCATCAAATATGTTCTTAACTCCATACCCACTTATTCCATGCAAATGAACATACTTCCAAAAAAATCCTTTTTCATATTGATCGTATCCAACGTCGTTTTCTTTGGGGTTCCCCTGCATCCCACACAAAATTACACCTCATTAATTGGGACTTTGTTACTACCCCTAAGAGTCATAGTGGATAGAGGATCCAAAAATTACTCCCCAAGAATATGGATAGGTTATCCAGTGTAACATGACGCTTCGTCCAACACCCGTCAACCTTATGGGCCATGATCCTTAGAGGTAAATACTGTCACCATCGTAGCCCACAATACCACTCCAAGTTTTTCACTTAAAAACCATATGACTCATACATTTGGAAGAGTATGACCACAGTATCTCCAGCCTGTCATCAAGGCGCTGCATGGAATATAGGTAATGGTCGAAATATTAGTCTTTGGTATGATCATTGGATCTCCCCCAACTTCTCCCTTCGTCAACTCATTCAAGGTCCCTTACTCTTTCATGAATCCACCTTCCTTCTTAGCCATATCATCCTCCATTCAACCTATAATTTATCCACATTATCCTTTGAACTACCTACTTTTATCTCCCTTCTTATCCATAACACCTACGTGCACCCCTCTTCTACTCAATTGGATCTCCTACATTGGAACCCAGCCTCTAATGGCCTGTTTACTACTGTTTCCGCCTATCGACTATTTCTCCAACACCTGCACATCCCACTACCATCCTTCTCCCATTATTGGATTTGGAATATACTTACACTACCCAAGATTAAACACTTCCTCTGGCTTCTCCTTCATGGTAAGTTACCAACTGCTGCTCTCCTATACTCTCATCATATATTGCATCAACTTATCTGCCCTGTCTCTTCTCATGCTTGGGAAGATATCTCACATATATTCACCATTTGTTTACCCGCTACACAAATTTGGCAACACTTCGCTATTTCTGTCCCCCAACACCACCCCGCCCCATGGCTTAAACGCATCTGCACTGAAACTGATGCTACTTATACACATTGCAATATTGCTATTCCCCTCAAGATCCTCGTCCTTTTTATCCTTTGGCATATTCGGTTGACGTGCAACCATAATCTTTTTCATCATTCCACAACACCTATTTCTCATCAGCTCATTCTTGACCATGCTATTGAATTTTACTGATTAGTGAATACAACACAATAGCTGACACCCACTACAACCATTTGCGTGGGTTGGTCTCCTCCCCTTACTAGGTATAAGCTTAATATTGATGGTGCTTTTGATCCACAATCACAACATGGAGGAGCCAGTGGTGTTATCCGTGACTCTTCTGGTAATTGGATTATGGGCTTTTCTAAGTCTCTGCACCTCGCTAATGTCTTACAAGTTGAGTTATTAGCTCTTCGCTTCGGCTTACAGCTTTTCATTGCCCACAACATCACAACACTCATTGTGGAGATTGATTCACAGGTACTACTCCACCTTTTATCAATGGCCAGTGCTAAATACTCACATTTATTTGATGACTGCAGGTTGATGCTCAGTAATCTAGTAATACATGGGATCCAACACATATTTAGGGAGGGGAATGGAGTCGCGGATCACTTAGCTCATTTTGGCAAGCACAGGGCTTCTGAAATATATCATGATGCTATGATTTTTGAAACACCCCCCACTTTTGTTTTGTATAGCTTAATGTTTGACTCAACGAAAACTTTCGCGTTCAGTTCACTCTATGTATGAGTACTTTCTGTTTCTAATATATATGATTGCTGCATTTCAACAAAAAGAACTTTCTCCAACTTAAAAAATTTCCCAAATACACCTTTCTTAAACATATCCATTTGAGTTCCAGACGAAAAAGTTCCAGACGAAAAGAATGAAATCGTTTGCTTAAAGTTTCTATCACCTTTCCAATAACAATTAGCAGGAAACCAATCGTTAAACTCATATAATCTATTTCCTTCCTAAAATGAAAATACACAAAATATAAGCAACATTACATTTAATTTAAAGATGGAAACTTGAACATTTCAGGAATACGCACCTTCAATATGCTATTTGAAGATTCCGTTTCTGCAAAATCGTGAAAACAAGCATATTATAAATTAGATTAATAAACTTGATCAAAATTCAGTATATTATAATACTCATCCAGTATAAAACACTGGACAACAAGCCTTTAGAGATTAGATTTTCAGTATAATATACGGAACCAAATTTATTAGAAATAGTATAACTGCAGCAAACAATACTAGAGTAGAATGAAAAAACATCAAATACATCATATAAAAAAAGCAGATGCAAATTATCATTAAAAATTCATTATCAGAAATAAAAAGAACTCAAGTATATTATAATATTCATCCAAATTTATTAGAAACAATAAAACTTTAGCAAAAAATACTGGAGTAGAATAAAAAAACATAATCAAATACAACATATAAAAAAAAATAGATGCAAATTATCACTAAAAATAAGTTATCAGAAATAAGAAGAGATCCAGTATAATTACTCATCCAGCATAAGTATTGGGCGCTAAGCCTTCAGAGATAAGACTTCAAATATAATATACTAGAACCAAATTTTGAATTACATGACAATAACTCCAGCAAACTATACTGGAGTAGAAATCAACAAACGAATTAAAAATAGCATAATATACAATGACTTCCAGTGTAATTTACCGGAATCAAATTTTGAAGTATGAAGTCCGACACATTGTTCTAGATTTCAAGTTATGACAAGAACTCCAGCAATCTATAGTGTAGTAGAAGCAACAAACTACATAAAATCTACCCTAATATACAACGACTACAAATTATTTGAACAACTCATGAAAACAAGTTACACAACGATTATGTAACGACCCGGCCGGTCGTTTTTGGAATTTACGCTCCGATCCCCTATTAACTGCTTTCCCCAAGTCTATTTCTGCTATTTTGATTTGCCGGGAGGTTCGGTTTTGAGTTTCGGAGAGTTTTGGGACACTTAGTCCCTAAATGAGAGCTTAAGTGTTGGAAAACTAACCATAGTCAAAACAGTGTGAAGACGGCCTCGGAACGGAAATCCGGTGGTTCCGTTAGCTTCAGTGATTTCGGGGTTGGGAGCGTGTTTGGAATGTGTTTTGGAGGTCCGTAGCTAATTTAAGCTTGAAATGCCGAAAGTTGGAATTTTGAAGTTTCCGGTTCGATAGTGAGATTTTGATCCGAGGGTCGGAATGGAATTCCGGAAGTTGCAGTAGCTCCGTCATGTCATTTGGGATGTGTGTGCAAGACCAACTCTCGAGGCATCACAATAGACAGTATAAGACCCCGAACCGGTAGGCAATATCAAAACTAGGGCTGTAGTCAGGGCCGTCTTG